GTCCCAGCTACTCGGGAGGCTGAGGCAGGAGGATCCCTTGAGCCCAGGAGTTTGAGGTTGCTGTGAGCTAGGCTGACGCCATGGCACTCTAGCCCAGGCAAAAGAGTAAGACTCTGTCTCAAAAAAGAAAAAAAAAAGCGAGGGTGCCGTGCTTCACATTCCCGCCCTTCAGTGGTTACTATTTTTGTATATATCTTTCAGGATGTATTTGTAATCCCATACAAACGCATTTTTTTAAATAAAAATATTTGAATGCTTTTTAATAACCTGTAGCTCTAACCAACTTAACATTGTCTTTTGTTTTTCTTTACAGCTGTTATACTTGCCCATGAATCTTTGAGAACATTATAATGTCCTTTTGTGCCTCTTCTCACAAGGAGTTTTCTCAGTTGTTACCTGTTCAAGACATGGATATCAAAAATTCACCATCTAGCCTTAACTCTCCTGCCTCCTACAACTGCAGCCAATCCATCCTACCCCTGGAGCATGGCCCCGTATATATACCCTCCTCCTATGTAGAGAGCCACCATGAATACTCAGCCATGACATTCTATAGCCCTGCTGTGATGAATTACAGTATTGCCAGCAGTATTGGTAACTCGCAAGTTGGGCCTGGTCGGCAGACCACAAGCCCAAGTGTGCTGTGGCCAACTCCTGGGCACCTCTCTCCTTTAGCGATCCATTGCCAGTCGTCACATCTGTATGCGGAACCTCAGAAGAGTCCTTGGTGTGAAGCAAGGTCACTAGAACACACCTTACCTGTAAACAGGTAAATCCAGTCTTCATTCTGAATAGTAGTTCACAGGCATTACTCAAATCACTCTATGATTTAGGGAGAAGAAAGAGAGCTATTATACAAAGTCTTTATTAGTCACATAGATTACTTAGAGCACTTAAAACATATGCTGCCCAGATCAGCATTGTGGGGAGAATTCACTGTTATGACTATCGTCTTTGTAATAAGGACTGAATTTAAATCACTTTTTTCTTGATGGAGATATTTGGATTTGAAAAGTAAATTTTTACCTTTAGGTTAGAGTCATAGTGAAATCACAATTTAGTGTTCATACAAATTGTTTCCAGGATAACAGTAACTGTGGCAGTATTATAACTTAAATGAAATACTAGACGTGTGAAGCCCGGAAAGACAGGTAATTGGTACGAACTTTTTAAAATGAACTAAAATGACATTTTATAAAGATTGGTAGGAAACTATAATATTTAAACGTAGGCTTCAGTTGAAATTTCCTGAAGTTAAAAAGAATATTAATACTCTTTAAATGCTAGGTATCAGTTGGGCGCAGTGGCTCACACCTGTAGTACCAGCTACTCAGGAGGCTGAGGCAGGAGGATCGCTTGAGCCCAGGAGTTTGAGGTTGCTGTGAGCTAGGCTGACGCCACGGCACTCTAGGCTGGGTGAAAGAGCAATACTCTGTCTCCAAAAAAAGCAAGATATCATGGATTATTCCCATTGAATTTGTAACATTTTAAATGATAATTATAGGTATGACAAGAAGGGATGGTATGTAGGGAAGGAGGAGGGGGAGATAAACTTCCAAAACAACAAAGTACTAAG